TCGAAAGTGCTAAATGTTGCATTTTAAATGCAGCAAAAACGCTGCATAACAGATAATTATGTCAAAATGCACTCGTTTTCAAAAAATTTTGATGTAAAGAATTGTTTAATTTAAACTTTGAACCTTAAAACCTTCTGTAGTTGTTGTTTCCGCAAAAAATAAATACACCGTTATGTTCAGCTCAATCATCTCTATCGACCGCAATATTTATTTTTTGTACTTGAGAATCGAAACTATTCTGCATTTGTTCCAAAATTTTAATTCATAGTCGCTCCAAAATGTCAAATGAGCACAAACGTCAAAAGGAAATGTCATGCAACACAAATCTTGGAATTTGAGTTAGCTTTTTACGCACGCCGATCAATTTCGGTTGGTCCCATACAAGATGTATGTGCATGAGAAATTTTTGACAGTAAACTGCCGGCGTGCGTCAAGAATGATAGAATACAAGATTGCGCCGTCCTGGGCGTTGACAAATTCTCCGATGACTTGCTAGTTTGGGAATGAAAAATAGTGCCACACCAAAGTTGTGTTGCCAGATGGTTTGCCAAGTTGTGCCCCACCATGAACGAAAGACACAAGATCACGCCTTCCTGAAAGAAAGAAAAAAGTTATTTTCTAGATGTTGAAATCTCGACGCCATCTTTGTTGTACCAAGTAAACAACGAAGAGAACAAAAAAAAAACCGCGTAATTGTTGAACGCATGAATAATCATTTTTATTATACAAATTCATCTATAAATCATGTCGTTGTGTTAAATTATTCTTTACCTTATGTGTGCACACGTTGTCACAAGCGAAAATTAAGAAAATTGCAGTAAAAAGCCACCACCAAATTGTGGTAATAAACAAACGGCTAATGTCAAAGTCGCCCAACTTTTTTCCTAAATGCGATTATAACGGGCTACTAAGAAGGCGTGATCTTGTATTTTCGGTTCATGGTATACATGTGTCGACGTCGGAGCAAGCAGCATTTTGAAGCCCAATTACATGTGTTTGGAAAATCAAAAAATGTCCGCCTCTGATGAAGTAAAAGAAAAAAGTAATATTCAGGCTGACGTTTAAAATTACGGCGCCATGTGATTTTCTTTGAAAAGTAAACAAAGAATATGAAGATGAAGCATAAATAAAAGATGCAAGCAATTTTGTAGCACACGTTTGTGCCAACCAATTTATTATTTTTGTACGTGTTTTTGGAACCAATCCCTGCGCACTTCATTTTAATTATATTTCCACAACAAATTTATTGAAAAACGCTTAAAAATCTCTGAATAAACCACCGACAAAATACACATAAAGAAAGAAGCAAAACAGAAAAAGCAAACTTCAAAATTACGAACGTCACACACTTTTTTCTCAATTGCTATTACAAATGGCTGCTTCTCAACCGGTCAGATCTGTTCTAATTGGTTCATGCATACGTTTATATGAAAGTCTCCACCTTAATAAAGTTGGGCAACGCCAACGCAAAAGCAAAACAGAAAGATTGCCATCTTTCAACTTTTCGCGTGCGTAGTTCGTCAGCTGTTCCAAATTATCAAAATTATGTGAAATAATTTTCCGTCTTGATCAAATGCGATCAATAAATATACTTTTTAATGTAATTATTTATGTAAAATTTTGTTTTATATACCGCTTGTATGTTAATTTAGTGAGCACAGTATAACAAGCACGGGCGTGAAGGCTCAGTTATGTATACCTTGCATTGCATGAGAGTTGTCACATAAGGAATATGTTTAATGAACTTTGCGTGTTAAGCTGAAATTAGTCAAGAATGTAAACCTACCGGTACGTAAACCCGAGTCAGCTGACACGATCTATCTTACCAGAGCGCCATGTAAATGAAAACTCAACACCCTCGAAACACTTCACTTTTAGTGTGTTTTCACTTCGCTCGAAAATTAGCAAACGGCAGCACTGGAACTGTATAGCAAGCTTACTTGCTGTCTCCACAGGCAAAAGTTTTTATCTTGATATTAGCTCTGATCCAGTACTCCATGAACTTCTCCACTCCACGAACTTCTCGTACTCCAAAATCCTGTAAATGAGAGCAACTTTTGGAGAGTTGTGTAGAGAATGAAGTTGCAAGATTTTACCCGAACTTTTTCTTCTGGTAAAATCTGAAAAGTGTCAAGCAATCACTGGTTGTCGTTTTTACTGGAAAAATGTTTTTTTGTTCCCGTACTTTTTGTTGTTACTCACTTTTTACTCTCACTTCAGAGAGTAATATTGCTGTTTGACAGTTTTCATGAAAAGTATTGGATCAGAGCTAATGTTATCAGGCAAAATTTTGCCCATGGAGACCGCATATTGCTCTTGGCAAACAATAATTATCAGAGCTTTTGTCTTAATAAATATTGCAGCAATTTGGTACTTTGACAGCTACATTTTCATTTGCGCGATAGCTTCGTGGAGACAACATTATCGATACTTCAATAGCCGTGTTTTATTTGTCCAGAAATTTAAGCTATTAGCTTATTTTGTATGGAGGACTTATCCAACATAATTATATTTCCTTATGAAAAGCTATTTTGGCTTGTATATTGAACAAGAGACATTGCCATTCAGCATCAGACATTTTCTCCTTCAGCCAATCAGAAAGAACACTTAGTTTGACACTATTTGCCGTCAAACAGCTGTCAAAATTAGGCTAACATAGGAAATAAGCGAATTTCGTTTTATTTGACCAAGATTTGGCTATTTGCTTGTGATGGTTGAATAAAACATGTCTAATATAAAAGCAATTTGAGAAAAAAGTTTGCGAAAGCGGGTTCGTCAGCTGGGCGTTTGTTTACATCACAAGCACCACTATTTTACACTTTTATTCAAGTAAAGAAGAGTTAATTCAACATGACAACACATTTTAAAGCATTTTGTTGCATCATTTTACCTAAATTGTGCGTTTAAAGTGGCTGACAATAATTTTGGCTAATTTTGGTTTTCGTTGTTTTCTTTGCTTTGTTTACTTTTCGCTCGTTTTCCAGTGAAACAGGATGGCGTAGAACCCGCTAAAATATCGACTTTTTTCACTCTCTTGTTCTTACGTGATCTTGTGTCTTTCGTTCATGATTTTACAGGCAACAAAAGTTGAATGCGAAGTTGATTGAGAAGTTGAAAGTGAAAAAGTTGCCATCCCTATTCAACACGAATTGTTATTTACATTATTGAAAATGAATTTAAATCGCAAAATTGTATCAATTGGCGTAAACTTGGTAAACCAAGCGTTGGTAGAAGAGCTTTTAGCGAAGCTGAATAAAAGTAAAAAAGGAAAAAGTATGTATACAGTATGTAAACAAACACAGGGTTGCAAGGAAAAAAAGTTGAATGATGATGATGATGATGATCGCCGCGTGGAAAAGCCCTATAACTTTGTTGAAAGCCATTAGTTGAAAGGCCGTTCGGAAGAGGCGATTTTTGCTTTCAACTAAAAGTTGCCTGAAAAATCGCCACATGCGAAAGCTCTATACTGGCTTCACTGCTTCACGTTCTTTGCAGAAAGAAAAAGCTGGCAACACTTCATTCGACCTCTCTAGCGAACTCGTTCCGGGAATGACGTAGCAACGAGACGGAATGTGTGAGAGACGTCAATTTGATCTGGAACTTTCTAGAATACATGAAACATTCTTTCTATAAATAGGGGTCTCGTCTGCCGAGCGAACACATTCGTAAAAGAACAGTTGAAAACGAAACATATTTTTGTCAGAAAAGCAAAAGAAGTTTTAAGTGACTTTCAATAGAAAAGTTATACAAGAAAGTACTAAAATCTAAACATTCTGTTTTTTGATTATAACTACTCGGAATTGCAAGAAAATTTATAGTGAATAAAAACAAGCAGAAAATTTGAGGAAATTAGTGGAGGTAAATACCTAAAGTGAATATATGTATATGCATATGTACAAATAAACTACATGCTGTGCTTACGGGACGGAATAATTACACAACTTGTTAAATTGACAATAGTTTATGTTTAAAAAAGTTCTAATGGTTTAAATAACACATATGTTTGTCAGTTGCGATATTTTTTTCTTTTTTCTTGAAATCGATGAAATCACTTGACAAGTTTGGAAGTCCCCCGCCAACGCGTCTCGCAAGGTTTTTTTGTGCTACAGCATAAGTTAGAGCAGGACGGGGCTGTATAGAAAGTACCAGCAGTTGCAAAATTTTTGTTTCATGCAAACGTCACCAAACGTCTGTTTTGTCGGGTGTTGATAAAAAAAATTCTAGAAAGATCTGTGCTACGCTGCAAATATAGTAAAAAATGTTCACGATCTTTCTTTTCGTGCGTGCATACATAAATATAAGTACTTGTCGAGACGTATTCGTAAACAGTAATACAAAAAAACATCTTATTTCTATACTATGTACACTAAAAAGCGCACAGCCATGAGAAATTACTATTTTGTAATTAGGCCACACGAAATCTTAATTGTTTTGTTTTATAATCAAAAGATCATGTTTTTTTTTTTTGTATTGATGCATTTAGGAATGCACGCATATTAATGTGTACATATAAATCTTATGTTTATTTGGCAATTGAAAGAGCTTACATTTTATGGAACATGTCCCGTTAAGCACGTTTTTGTCATGTTTTATTTATCTGGTTTTTTTTTTATGTACTAAATTTTACTCAAATTGTACTTGTGGTTTTGTTTAATGATTTCATTTCAGCTCTACAAGAGAATTAAGTATATATCGATATGGGCAAAGATTTCTATAAAATCCTCGGTATTAACAAAAGTGCCAATGACGATGAAATTAAGAAGGCCTATCGTAAATTGGCGTTGAAGTACCATCCAGATAAGAACAAAACACCGCAGGCCGAGGAGCGATTTAAGGAGATTGCCGAAGCGTATGAAGTGCTGTCAGACAAGAAGAAGCGGGACATCTACGATCAACATGGTGAAGAAGGCCTGAAGGGTGGTGTACCTGGTGGTCCCGGTGAGCAGGGTGGTGGTTTCAATTCATACCAGTTCCATGGAGATCCGCGCGCCACATTTGCACAGTTCTTTGGTTCGTCAGATCCATTTGGCATTTTCTTCAGTTCAAGCGATCCCAGCCGAATGTTTGGTGATTCGCAGAATATATTCATGACTGCTGGCAATGACGATGATATCTACTCACAAATGGGTGGCGGCGGTGCTTTCCGCTCGCAATCTTTCAACGCACAACCCAACCGCAAAAGACAGATTCAAGATCCACCTATCGAACACGATCTTTACGTCTCTCTGGAGGAAGTCGATAAAGGCTGTGTAAAGAAGATGAAGATCTCGCGCATGTCGATGACAACAGGGCAGCCGCGCAAGGAAGAAAAAGTCTTGAATATAACTGTGAAACCCGGCTGGAAGGCGGGCACAAAGATTACCTTCCAAAAGGAAGGTGATCAAACCCCTGGAAAAGTTCCGGCAGATATAATTTTCATCATACGGGACAAGCCGCACCCATTATTCAAACGTGAAGGCAGCGATATCAAATACAATGCTAATATCAGTTTGAAACAAGCCCTTTGTGGCACTGTTGTACAGGTGCCGACGTTACAAGGCGATAGAATTACGGTCAATTCACAGGGAGAAATCATTAAGCCTAACACAGTTAAACGTATCTCAGGCAGAGGGTTGCCTTTCCCAAAGGAGCCGACGAGACGAGGTGACCTGCTGGTGGCGTTTGATATAAAATTCCCCGACAGTCTGCCGGCTGTAACAAAAGATCTGTTGACAGATGTGTTACCAAACTAAGTTAACCGGGCGCCGTAGTTATAAGTTAAGTTGGGCGGGTATGAAGGGGGAAGTAATGAGAGGGATGAGTTAATTGAGCAAGTAAATGTACTAAAGAAGTACTGGTATTTCCATTGTCCAGAAAAACTATTTAGGTTAATTTAAATTAATGTACAACGTTTATTGTTACTTCTCCCCGTTAATTTGATTGCGAGAGATCAGCATTAGCTAGAGCTAGTAACATTTGTAAATTGTTATAATTAAAGCTTAGTTGTAAGATACATTTAAACTCGAAGGCAAAACATTGTTAAGCATACAAATGTCAAAAATTTTGGAAAATATGCATGTCGGTGGAACATTCGAAAATTGTCATTACTTAAGTATCACTTCCAGTTGTAAAATTACTGGCGGCCGGCATTAACATTAAAAGTCGAAAGTAATTGGAACGTGGATACTATAGACGATTATACCAGAAGACTGATATAGAATAAATGGAGATTCATGTTATAAAAATCGATTTAGCTTTCTTCAATCTAAATGTATAAATTACGTTTTTTTTTTTAATTTCAAGTACGGATGTCTTAAAAACGCATTGATGCAAAGCATCGGTCTGTTGATTCTTAATAAGGCAAGTTCTCTACTTTCACTTCCGAGTGAATTTCAACCCTTCTATTTGAACTCGAAGTGGCTTTGGTTTAAAAAATTGACTCGGATGTGAATTGCAGAAACTGCCCGTATGTCTTACATTTACATACATGCGCAATATGAAAAACTATTGGGGCGGCTTCTGCATTTCACTTCCAAGTGGATTTCAATAAAATTCGCTTTGACTTCAAATTGGTAGAGGTTGAAATTCGCTTGGAAGTGTATTGCAGAACCTGCCTGATTATTTTTTTGTTTAAGTTAGGGGCGAAGTCTCTTGGGTGTAGAAATAATGTACACTGATGCTTTTATTAATGTGTTACAAGAGAAGAGGCTGTCTAAGATCTTTTTACCGAAATATGATTGGAATCGATGAACATTTTGGATAACACTCTTTTCGTAACGGTCTTCACGGCTTTGGGTTATGAAATGCATTCCTCAAAACCCTTTGGTATGTTTTTGCTGTTGAAACAACATGCGGTATGTTTGTAGGAAAGGTCAGTGCGTTTTAGCACAATTGCATCAATTTTCTACTGAAGCTTCATACTTAAAAATACATGCAGACAATTTTATGCTTACAGTGTTTTACTTTTGGGTTTATGATTGCGATTCAAGTCAGATATGTACATAGTTTGTATGTATGTGTAATAAAATATTTTGTTTTTCTTAGTAACAAATTAGTAACATTGATTGATGTGCATTCAATGAAAAATTTCCATAAATTTATGCGAATAAATTATAATATTTATTAACAAAACTGTTTATTTGCCTTTTAGTTACAAATAAGCAATAACCCAGCAAACACACCATAGGGGTATTCTCTTAGTCTTGCAAAGCCCTTGCACGGTGCACGGATTGCACGGTTTGCAAAGCTGTCCCATACGAAAACCGGTTTTAACCGTGCAATCCGTGCAATCTGTGCACCATGCAAGGGCTTTGCAAGACTCGGAGAATACCCCTCATGTGTTCAGAAATGCATCAAGCCAAAGCATCGGTCTCCTTTAGTTATAAATTTTAACTGATGTATGTAAATGCCTTATTTACGAAACTAAGTTCCAATTAGGCATTTAACCGTGGTTGCGCATATTGCATATTTCCATCAATTACAGTTAGAAATAAATACGTCTGATGCTTTGGCTTGATGCATTTCTGAACACACCCACACAATTGGTTTTTCATTATAATTCTACTGTGGTTCTCTAATATTTCTCGAAGGTCATACAAGTATGTTAGAATGCGATTAGAGAATGATTAGAAAAGGCTGACTTCCAAAACGTCAATTGCTTTGCATACGTACAAAATATAATGTTCCATAACGCCGAACCACAAAATATTGCCGATGTATACTTTTCCAAAACGCATCCGAAAAGTTATCGAAACGCATCGCTAGAGCAATCGGCGCATTATAAACATAGTTGATGCTTCGTTTGTTATTGGTTACCATTTGTGTTTTAAACATGGAAAATTCAGAAAAATTTTTCATTGCTATATTGAATATTTAAAATATGCGATGTATCTGGTTGCAATGTCCCGCAACTCTGCATTAACAAACACTTTAAATACCGCAGTATAACAATATCCAAACATTAGGTGTGTACTCGTATTGAGAGGGCAAAATTCTCCAGCAGCAGAAGTTCTGAGAATTTAGCAGCATTCGCTCTCAAAGAGACGAAATATGAACAGAAGTACGAGAACGCAAAACCAGTAAAAGTTTCTAAAACTTTAGATAGTTGGGCATACGAGTACACTCCTATTGTACTGATTCGTTTTGGAAGTCAGCCAAACACTAGATTAGAAACCAATTAGAATTCCACTCTAGAATAGATTGGTTAGTCCCTCAATCATTCAAGCAGGTTCTGCAATTCTCTTCAGAGTGAATTTCAAACCCTGCCAATTTGAATTCTACGCGAATCCGACTCAAATTCACTCGGAAGTGAATTGCAGAACCTGCCTGATTGTCTTCAAGCTCTACTAGCGGTAGCCTGAGGAAGCGTGCAGCCTCGACGGGGTCTGCCCATAGGGACAGGGGCGTTAGTGAAATGGGATTCAGAGGTCATACGAAGAAATGCTGTGAGTTATGGGGCGACTCTCCGCATGCTGGGAATTCGTTAAGAACATCTTCGTTTAATCTGCTCTGGTATGAGTTCAACCTGCTGCAGTAAACAGAGCGCAGTTGGGCTATTGTGTTCCGAGTCTCCCGACGCAGCCGAAGTGCTGTTTCGTCCACGTCTGGTGGTTGTGTGCCCAGAACGGCATTCACAGGTCGGGAGGCTACATAACTCGAGACTGTCTCTCTGTAAATGCCGTTTAAGGCCTGTCGGATAAGCAGTCGGGTCCAGAGGTTGTTTGATGAACCTCTGGCAATTCTGCAGCATCATCCACTGCGTCCTACTAGTCCCCGGTGACCACACGAGCGCTGCATAGTTCAGATCCGGCCGGCCAATTGCCTTGTACGTTTCCAGCAACGTTTCTTTGTCTTTGCCACAAGCGCTGCCGGCTAGCGACTCGAGGACCTTGTTGCTGCTTTGTACTCTGTTTGACAATTGCGGTTATATGCGCCGAGAAGGAGAGCAGACGCTCGAAGGTTACTCCGAGGATCTTCGGGCTGTTCACCGTCGGAATTGGTTTGTCATCGACGTGAATTAGCAGTTGTAGTCTGACCGCCCTCGTCCAGGTGGTAAACAGTGTGGCTGAAGATTTTGTAGGGGAGAGGGTTAGGCTCCGTGCAGCGAAAAAGCGAAAAAGCTCGGTGAGATAACCGTTTACTTTCGAGCACAAGTCATCAATTCCATTCCCAGACGCCATGATCGAGTAATCGTCAGCATAAGAGACAATCGAGACTCCCTGTGGTTCTTGAGGGAGCTTTTAAATGTAAAAGTTAAACAGTAATGAGGAAAGGACACCGATGATCGTTTGAGTCCCTGTGGGAGAGAGGAGGCCTCTATGTCTTCTAGTAGTGTTGAATGGCTGACAGTCTCGAACCCCTTAGGCAGGTCCAGCGCTACTAGAATGGTTCTCTCACAGGGATGGTTTCGGTTAAAGCCACGAGTTATCTGGCGTTAAGTGCTGTTGTTGTGCTCTGCACATAACGGAACCCATGCTGATGCCTCGCTGGGGTCAGGTGATTTGTATAGTGTGGGAATAGAAGGGCCTCTAGTGTCTTCGCTACCGCGGAAAGGATAGTTATCGGGCGATAGGACTCTCCTTTGTTGGACGGTTTCCCTGGTTTATGCAGTGGGGCCACTCTCCCCATTTTCCAGATGTCTGGAATGATGAGAGTGACCATTGACGGGTTGAGGACCTTGATTAAATAATCCACTACCGCGGGACCCATATTTTTCAGCATCAACAAGCAAATTCTGTCGGGTCCAATGGCTTTCGTCTTTCTCATGCCTACCCTTACAACACCGCTGGTGAAAACAAGAGGCGCACTAGGTTTTGGCAGTTTGAGCAGCCTTCTGGTCACTGGCTTTATCCACCGGAGGATGCAGTATGAACTGCCGGCTAAAATAGCCCGCGGATCGCTCCGGGTCCGACGAAGCGTGGTATCCAAAGTCTATTTCCACTCTGTCGTCACGCTTTGTCCGGTTGGACTATGACCTCACGGTCAAGTGACACCAGCCATGGTAAAGTGACACCAGCCAAGGTAAGTGTTGCTCTTGACCGATGTCACATTACGGAATATGCTGGACTCACACACCGTGCAGATTGTCGGAGGAACTAGGAGTTGTTGGCGGCGGCGTGTGGGTGGTGGTGCGGTTGTATCGGTGGTGTGGTCTTTTGTGTCAGTGGTGTTGTCTATTGTATTGTGTTGTGATGCAGTTGCGTTGAGTTGCTCAGGCGGACTCTGTTGTGCCGTGGAGGAAGCTCGATTTGAGCAGCAAGTGGCCACGTATGCGATGGTCCACTGCCTGTGAGTCGTAAGGCCTGAGAAAACTCGGAGTCAGCTCCACCCCTTACAAGTGAACACAACCTAAACGGGGTTAGATCGCCGAAACAACAGCCCTTGGCCGAGTAAAACCCGAGTCATTCCCATACGTATGTATACCCGGCTGTCATGGGAATAGGTGTGGGCGTTATGTGTTGAAGTTGGATGCAGAAGACGAAAAGAAAGTGAGAGGAAAAAAAAGTGAAAGGGGAGGCGAGAATAAAAAATATAGGAAATGAGAAAACATCAAAAATTACACCGAGTTGATTTCGGTAAGGCGCGCGCTGGCACTCGTTGGCACTGAAAAACGCAACGCTTGGCGCTCCAATTTAGGGATGGCAGTGATGTCGCCTGAGCACATGCTTCAAAGTGAGGCTCAAATGATTCCCGTAAGGGAGCATAACAAAATACTCAGCAAGCAATTTCTGGTGGGATGCCACAGACATCTTTTCTACGGGGACGGGGTCCAGACTAACATCGAGCAACCACTGGACCCGACGATGCACAGTGGTACAGCCTCATACATTTATTGTAAAAAAGGAGTTATCGTAGCACCTCAATTTTCCGTATGCAAAAGCGGCTGCTGTGGTGTAGTGGTTAGTAGTGCGCGCTACACAAGGCCTGGATTCAAGCCCGGTTCAACCCAACATAAAATAAAAACAAAAAGTTGTTTTTTTTTTTCTAAAAGCGGTCGCCCCTCGAGGATGGTTCCGTGTGCAGAAGTCCACGTAAGTGGGAAAAGCTTTTGACTGCCATTCACCTGGGAGTGACCAGAAATGATTCTTGTGCGTACGGTTCAAATCGTAGCTCACAACGTCCGGATATTTATATCCACGCATCGTTTGGGTAGCGACCAAACACCCGCTTGAAAGCGAGCTCAGATGAGAAGGCGTGAAACTTCGTATGCGCTGGGTTTGTGTCCCGCCACGTTAAAACCCCGCCCAATGAAAAAGAACAAAAAGTCTCGGATGAGATTCTCTTTTATTGATGACGAATATGGCAAACGTTTGAAGGTCCGAGGGGAATGTACCAGGAATATCCGGGTCCCTAATCGGGAAGGTGCATCTGACGGCCTGGCTGAGGCCCTCGGGAAGGCCAAGGTTGCCATCACCGCCACCCAGAAAATGCGATGGACGGGGCAAGGCAAGGTTAGCGTGGAGCCTTCAGACGTGGTATATGTTGATGCTACGTAAAGGAGCGTAAATACGGTGTTGAATTTGTGATGGGAGAGAGACTCCGCCGCCGAGTACTGGCGTTCACCCCGATGGGCGAATGTCTAACCACAATCCGCAAAAAAGCTGGATTATTAAACATTTCGCTCATGTGTGTCCATGTCCCGACGGATCGACTTCGCCGGGTTCCGAAACATGATAGTAGGCAGTACTAGGTTCAAGCATAAAAAGATCCATCAAGCTACTTGGCCGTCTCCAAATCGAAAAACGAGACATGCTTCTAGTGTTTATTTCATTTATTTATTTGATGTCTAAAGTTGTATGTGATATAGACATTATGAAAAATTACAAGCTATAAAGTTATATTTTTAGTTACAAATTACAAACGTTAGATGAATTTTAGAGTAGATATAATAAACGGTTTTCTAAACTTTTACACAATAAATAGTTTTTCAATCTATTGTAGATAGGTAACTGATTTTGATCCGGCAAGTCAAGATC